GGTTGAGGTGGGAGAGAAGGCAATGCGCTTGGTTAGCTACATTAAAAACAGTATCTCAATTCCTCATTTCATGTATTTTATGTACAGAATGGCCTTAGTGATAAAATATATTAATAATAATTTATGATAGTTGGCTTATAAAGTGAAGCATAAATATTTATATAGCAAAATATTTTCTGGATGCTCCATTAGTAAGACTGTTACATTAATTAATCTGCATAGTCAAAGAAATCTGTAGGTTATTTTCTAAAGTCCTTTTATGTCAAATGCTATTATAATTATTCTGTTTCTATTCATTTTATGGCAAGATTCTTAATGACATTAAAGTTAAAAAAAGAATCACACTGAACACTTACAGATGTACAATTTCCTAAATATTCAATTGTCTAAATGCCATCTTTTAATCTTATTTTCTCTTGCTCTCAATATTAAGAAAAATAGTAAACTGACCTCTAACGCATCTGATGGCCTTAAGTTTGGTTAGTTTTATATTTATTATTTTAAAAGTTTTTCAAATTGTTTTTAGTATAGGAACTTTATCTTACGGCCTTTTATATAATTCTCTAATATTCTTGCACTTGTCATTTAACTTTTAGTACTAAAGACAAAGATTCATCAAAATATCAGAAAGTAACTTATGATTTTATACTTTGTACTATTTAATATCTATATTATGAAGGGATTTCTTTTTTTTAGTTAAGCAAAAACCCTTCATTTGACAATAAACACGAGAATTTGGTTTCTATTTTACACATTTATAAGTTTTCCCTCTAAGTATCTAGCAGCTATTGGAACTTCTGCACTCAGTGCTAAATGCTAAGGCAAAGGGGGTATAATGGGTGAGTTTTCTCAGAGACTTTGCCTTTAGAATTCAGTCTTTATGAAAAAATGATCCGAATAAGATTCTATTTATGAACATGTACTTCTTGTACAGTGATCATCACACACTTCATTGCTACTTTTACAATAAGCTATTAAACTAGTTTTTATGCTTCATGTAACATAAGACAGTTTTGTGCTTCAAGTAATGCTTTATATTTAATGAGCAATTACTTGATTTGGACTGCTTTGAAGAGACCTTGTTTTCAAATTCTGATTTTGACAATTATCTTTCAATTCTCATATTCTAATGGGCTGTATTTTAGGTATTGTGCTAAGTGATAGTTTATAAATTAGCCTTTTAAAGACTGCTAGATGTGCACAAAACTCATAGCATTCATAAAAAAGTTTTCAAAGTAGATGTTTATACTATTAAAAAGTTATGGATACATTGGATCAATTTCTAAAGTTGCTAGATAAAAAATCGAAACGAGACACTAACTCCTTATGTGGAGGGAGAAAATAACAAAGACAGCAAAATCAACTTGCTTTTTTTGTAGTGAGGATTAAATCCCATGCATGCTAAGTACACAGTCTTTTAGTTAGCTGCATCCCCAGCTTAAAAAAAAAAAAAATCAACTCTTTAAAGGCAATCTGAGTGTGGTGGAACACACCTGTAATCCCAACACTCAGGAAGGCTGAGACAGGGAGGATTGTGAGTTTAAACTCAGTCTGGGCAATTTTGTGACTTATGGAGACCCTGACTCAAAATTACACAGATTTAAAAAGACCTGGGGATGTAGGTCAGTGTGAAGGCCCTGGGTTCCTATGGAAAAAAAATTAAACAGCAACATTTTCATAAATATTAACAGATCCAAGAATAGTGCTATCCAGAATATAATAGCTGACACATCAACAATGAGCTGTAGTTGTCAATTAAAGATTAAAATATAGGCCAAATATTCTAGTTATGTCACAGAAGTACTAAATTTCATGAACATTTCCATCAATGGTGGTTTAGTGGGAAAGTTTAATGTTTAAAGTCTGTCAGTTATCTAGAAAATTCTTTCATGGAGCAGATTATTTCTTGATGTCCCAAAATTTAGATATAATAATTGGTAAGATGTCAGAATACTCAGTTTCACTTGAAATTGTGAAAACTGGCTGGAACACCTACAGTTCTCACAGAAACTTGGAAGCCTAGGAACATCTTTACTTATAAAGGGTCCGTAATAGTCACATTGTGCTATACTGTAGTCGGGATCTCATACGTTCCCTTGTCCTCTTAAAAGTCCATGTATCAATGACTTGGTACATGGGAGATGGGACCTTTAAGCAGTAGAGCCTAGTGGGCAGAAGTTAGGTCATCGAGGGCATCCCCTTGAAGAGGATGTAGGGATTTTGGCTCCTTCCTGCTCACTCTTGTGTCTCATTGCTATGAGTGAACAGGACGCCTGGTCATGCTCTGCCACCATGATACACTGTACTGCCTCAGGTACTTGGCAACAGAGCCAAGTGACCATGGGCTGAAACCTCTGAAACTGAAGCCAAAATAAACCTTTTTCCTTTTGAGTTTGTTATCACAGGTATTTTGTCACAGTGATAGAAAACTAACTAACATGTAAGAAAAAAGCAAACTGGTCTGTAACAACCTTCTTTCCAAATATCTCCTGACTCCTGAATCAAGGTAAGAAGCCACTTTTTTTCACTTTTTAACCATTACACTGCTACTCTTCAAGTTTTATATCTTCTATTTTTGCTTCCTATATATGAGTATTTCTTAAGGTAAGAGTTCTTGGCCTTCTGATGCTATTCACACAGTTTTATATTTAGGCACAGTCTCTTTCCTGAGCTTTACCCCTATATTTCTAACAGGCTCTCTATATTTTCTCTTGGATATTTCACTATCCACTAAAAATTTTACAAATCTATTTGGACTCTGGGCTCATTTTTTGCTGTAAAATTTACTATATAAATACTTACCTTCAGTTCCAGTTGCTCAGGCTCACAAATTGGAACCTTTTCTGCTTCCACTCTTTTCCTACCATCCAGTCAGTTACTAGAGTACTATTCAACCTTGGTTATGATACCTCGCACCTTTACACTCAGCTCCAAAACCATCATATCTCCCCTTCCACACTATTCTATACTTTTGCTATGTTAATGTTGCTAAAACATAGTCAGGACAAGTCATAGATCCATCATTTATTCCACAAATATTTACTGAAGTCTTACTTTAAACAAATCATAATGTTTTACACTCTGAAATATGGAAATAAAGGTCTGTTTACAGTCTAATAAGACAGACATACTTGTAGATAATTTTTGCTCAAATTTAGAAAGTGATAACCAAACACACAAAGTTCAGAAAATATATATCACTTGTAAAACTTTAGAAGTCATGTAGAGGTGTGTGTGTGCATTTTCTAAGATGAAAAGGGACACAGCAATGTAATGTAATGGATGTCTATGCATGAAGTACTCCACTGATTTACTGCAGGCAGAGGGAGCAAGAAAACGGAAGAATAAGAAATAGAATTTTACATTTAAATAATAAATTGTGGCCTTTAATTTGGAAGCAACAGGAGGCTCAGAATATTTGGCATCACAGCTGTGCTTCAATATAACTAAATCTATAGCAGTTATGCTGGTAGGGGAGTGATATTTGAAGGGCACCAATGAGAAAAGTACTCCACTTCCGCAACTTAGGGATAATAGAACTCTGACTAGTTTTTTTTTTTTTTTTTTTTTTTTTTTTTGTCTTTTTCATTTTTATCGGTACCAGGGATCGAATTCACGACCGCCTGCTTGCAAGGCAGGAGCTTATGCCGCTGAGCTAAATCCCCAGCCCCCAACCCTCTTACTCTTACAACCAGGCTAAAGCTCCCGAGGGGCTTTTAAGTTCTTGCTGTCTTAACAAATAATTGGACAAAATACACAGAAAAGGCAATAAAGGTTTACATTTATCAAAGGTGGGAAAGGAGCATGCTCTGCACAGTGAAAGCTGGCCAGTGAAAAGGCTCACAGCAGACTCCTACAATAAGGAAAAGCTGTCTTTTGCATCCAAAATTCTCAGGTTATCTCCCTCTCTTGCAAAAAAAAGCCACTGGGACAGTCTTTCTATCATACACTAACTTTGCATCACATCATGTGCAAACTATGCTATCCAATTGCTTGCTTAGCTTCCTACCATATTCAAATGAAGGACCAACAACAGTGTTTCTTAATTGTGTCCCAACTGCAAATGCAGGATAAAAAAACCTTTTTTTTCTTTTTCTTTTCTTTAAGAGACGGGGTCTATGTAGTTTAGAACTCACTATGCAGTCCAGGCTGGCCTCACTCGATGTGATCCTCCTGCCTCAGCCTCCTGAGTGCTGGAATTACAGACACTGGACGTCATGCCAGGCTGGAAAAAAAGGCATCTTTCGACTGGTCCTGTACACCGCACCAAATTTAAAGGAAGGATTGAAACAAGCACTTAACTGGTGGTCTCAGTTTGGGGTGGGGTCCCTCACGTTGCTGCTTGGTTTCCTCTGAGAGACTGAGACAGGAGTAATCTCAAATTCGAGCCTACATCGGATAATTTAGCATCTAAGAAACAGTCTCAAAATAAAAAGGGCCGAGGCAATAGCTCAGTGCAAACGCTATGTTCCATCCACAGAACTATGAGAAAAAAGTTAACTGGACTAACAGAAAACATTGCACAGTCTAGGAAGCAATTTGGAGATAAAAGGCCAAATTATGTTCTGCGCAGTAGACTGTTTACACACTTGCGGAACATTCAAGAAGAAACGGCCAGCAGGCAGGGTGTTTCTGTAAAAAGGCGTACAAAGAGGACCACAAAACCCTTACTAGCACGACTTGTTCAGGTAGCAGTGATGGCGCGTCCACGCTTCGTGGTCCTCCACGCCCAGGCAGCCGACGGCCAGAATGCGCCGTCCTTCCCTTCTTCTGCCTCATCTCTTAGTCAGTGGCGCAGGCAGAGGCGAAGTCTTCCCCTGCAGCCTGCAGGCAGGAGGGGTGTCGAAGGACAGTGTCGCCCACCCGATGACTCCACAGCTGTATGATGAGCTCAGACGCTCGCGCCAAAAATTCGAAGGAACAAGGCGTAGTCAAAAGTAAAAAGCTACAGCGAGCGCCAGATATCGCGACACTACGCTCCCGGAAGCGGAAGTCAGGTGGTTGTAGGGCTCAGGCGGAAGAGGGTCCGTTACCTAGGAGATCTCAAAAGGCCTTCAGTTTCGCTGTGTGGCGCCCTCAGCTCGCTACACTTGCGAGTGTCTCAAAGAGGTTTGGGTCAGAACTGGACGGACGCAGACACCGGCGGTGAGTCGCCCTTAAGGGGCGACGGGGAGGAGGACGAGGAAGGACAAGGCGTGTGGCCCGCGGGGCGTCCGCGGTCCTTGCGGTGATCTGGAGTCCGGTGGGACCGGAAGCCACTCCTGCGGAGCTCGAGAGTCCCGGCGTCTGGGCAGCAACGTCTGGACAGCACGGCAGATCTGTCAACGCCTTGGCGAACAACCTGTGTCGTGGTTTGAGGTCGGACTGCATAGCGCAGTTGTCTTCAGGTATTTTCGTCTATTCCAGTGATGGACCCTTTAGAGTTTTAAATGATACAAATAGACCGCTTCGGGGCGCGTGCCATAGGTTCGCCACCAGTAGTCTGTTTTGCAGGATCGCCTCCTAGAGCAGCCAGACCCCGTCCTGCTATATGGTTTTATTTGTATGAATAAGTTAGTCATTACCACGGTGCTATATGGTTTTATTTGTATGAATAAATTAGTCCTGCTCGGGTCCAGATTTGAAAGGCGTAACCATGTTTTCAACGGAAGAGAACATACCTCATGAAGTTATAATGCTTGAATTATCGTGTTGATTTTGAAAGGCCAAAAGACACGTTTGGGTAGCCTCCTGTAGCTCTGTAGTATAAACTTCAGTTCTCTTTTAAGGAATATCAGCATTAGAAGTCTTTAGAGCACCATGATGCAGTGGTTGTGTTTATATTGCAGGCTCCTAGTTAGCACAGTGCCTGGAATTTTATACTCAAGAAATGTTCAAGGCGAGCATGATGGCACACGCCTGTAATCCCAGCCCTCTGCTGGGGTAAGAGGATCGCTGTGAGTTCACGGGCGAGCCTAGGTTACAAAGTAAGTTCAAGGCCAGCCTGCACTGTGTAGTGAAATCCTGTCTCAAGACAAAAATAAATAAATAAATAAATGAGTAAATGGAAAAGGAAAGAAAGATTGTCGGCCAGGTGCTGGGAATTGAACCTAAGGATCCACCCACGCTAGGCAGGTATCTCTGGTATACTACTGAACTACACCACAAGCAGTTTTATTTTTTATCGTGAGATAGAGTCTCACTAAATTGCCAGGCTAGGCTAGAAATTGGCAGTCCCTTGCCTCAGCCTGGGATTACAGGTACGCCCGCATCACAGTGGGTTAGAGCACTTCTAATCTGCCTTTCAATCACTAAAGCCCCTAAATTCCCAGCTCTTTTGACTCCCATTTTTAAAGAGTTTCCTTCCAGTGTTTTTCCCTCCCTGCACAGATTTAAATTTTAAGTAGCTTTAAACATTAAATAGCTGCTTCATATTTTGGGGAGTAAATTTGCACTGGTTCCGATTCTAAATTCCATTCTATGCATAGTATTTGTTTATACATGTGTTAGAGAGGGAGCCTCAGAAAGACCACAAACCTAGGGTAGCACATTTTCCTTATGATTTTGCTGCCCATCTGGATTAGGTATGGCTCATTTTTTAAAATCTCTTATGTGATTTCTATGCAAAGGGCTATAGATTGAACATTTGACCGTTTGCCAATTCTAGACAACTTGAAAGTAGGTTATTTGATAAGATGTACTCTCTAAAGTAAAATATCCAGATAATTGGATCTTGAGCCTTTCTTTATTCGGCCACCTATAACTCCACATTGCCTACCAAGAAAAAAATGCAAAATTGCTTGCAATGAAGACAAAATTTTTCACAATATGCTTGCTGCTTACTTCTCCAGCCTCATTTCTTGGCATCTTGTGCTTTTTCCTTTATTTATGTTTTTGTTTTTTAAGGCAGGAAGTCCAGGCTGGCCTCACTCAAAATGATCCTGTCTCAGCCTCCTGAGTTCTATGACTGTAGGCATACACTACTGTGTCTGGCTTCCCCTTTGGGTTTATGCTGTATCTTTTCTACTAGACTGAGATCTCTTTGCGGGCAGGGTCCATGATATATTTTTTATGTTTTTTATTTTCTACAGGGTCCTATATATCACAGTATATGGAATTTAGTAGTCAAGAAATGTTGGTCAGATGTGTTGGTGCACACCTGTAATCCCACCTGCTTGGGAGGCTGAGGCAAGGTGTCATGAGTTGCCTGGTCAACTTAGACTAAAAAAGAAGAAGAAGAAAGAAAAAGAGAGGGGCTAGGGATATAGCTCAGTAGCTCAGTGGCAAGTACAATGTCCTGAGTTAACTCCCAATACCAAAAAAAAAAAAAAAGAGAGAGAGAGAAGTGGACTCAATTCTTAAGCTTAAAGGTGTGTGACGCTGCCTAAAATTGTTCACTTGTTTTTCATTATCTGGTAAGATAGTATTAATTTTTAAAAATTCTAATAGAAACATCTTTTAACCTCTAGAATTTCAGGATGACTGATATTTCTGAAGCTGTTCCAGATTTTGAAGAGATGTTTGCAAACAGATTCACAAAAGATGATGAAGAATACCAGGAATATCTGAAACGCCCCCCTGAATCTCCTCCAGTTATTGAGGAATGGAACAGCAGAGCTGGTGGGAATCAGAGAAACAGAGGCAATCGGTATGTATCACTTCAGGAGAACAAATGTGCATGGCGGTGTGAGAGGGTAGCTTTCACGGCTTCCCTCGGTCAGGGAAAGTAGCGCCCAGTGTTTTCAGCGGGGTTTACCTGCCGCCTGCTAATAGTGCTTGCACAGAGTAAATGCTGATAAATGTTTTCTTTAATACTTTGTCAGCATCACATTCTTTCTTTTCCTTACTGTTCACATGTATGTTTTTAAAATTTTTTAATGTTCTTTTTGTAGACTAAGTTTTCTTTTGTGATTAGACTTTAAAATGTAGTCTTTGGGCATAATTCCACCAAAAAGGTATTGTTTTGCTGAGTGTAGTGAAGCAAACCTATAATCCCAAACTGAGGGAGGCCGAGGTAGAAGGACCACAGTTTTGAATCCTGCATAGGCAATTTAGACCCTATTGCAAAATTTAAAAGGGCTAGGGATGTAGTGCAGTGGTAGAGTGCTCCTGGGATCAATCTGTCAGTACCAAAGTATACGTAAATAAAATTTTAAAGTATTGTTTTGATTTTACTTCAGAAATTAATAAAAGGCATTTTATTTCAAAGAAAAAAAGAAAGACACCAAATTATGTAACACAAGCTTATAATACTAACAGATAAAAACAGAACTCTAAATTGTTCCTACCAATTGATTTAATTTGTATTTAAAAAACAAACATGGGGGGCTGGGGTTTAGCTCAGCGGCATAAGCACCTGCCTTGCAAGCAGGCGGTCGTGAGTTCGATCCCTGGTACTGATAAAAATGAAAAAAGACCCCCCCCCCAAAAAAAAAAAAAAAACATGGAATAAATGTTTTTAAAAGCATACCAAAATGTGAGAATTAATACTTACTGTATTTGGAAAGTGGAATTTTTTTCCTATTTCCTAAGCTTTGTTTTATATGCATGTTAGTTTTATAATGAAATTTTTAAAATAAAAATATTTTATATTTTTACACACAAAAAAATTAATGGAAATTATTCCTATTTAATCATTCAAAATAATGAAAGGAATAAATCACCATGCTGATTTGTACAACTGAATACTTTTCAGCTGGTCCAGAACCATGGTGTTGTTTGGGTTTTGTTGTTATTTGCCTATTTCTTTGTAAATTGTATTCAGTATGATACTGGAAGAATGATTGAAACCTTAGCGAAGTTTTAACTACCGGTGCTGTAACATTCTCTATAGAAAAATGTTTTGGGGCTGGGGATTTAGCTCAGCGTCATAAGCGCCTGCCTTGCAAGCAGGCAGTTGTGAGTTCGATCCCTGGTACTGATAAAAAGGAAAAAAAGACAAAAAAAATAAAGAAAAAAGAAAAATGTTTTAAAATTTCATTTTAGATTGTTTGTGAATTCAAGTATGCTGGGAAAGAGTTCTTATTTTTGTTTTTAATAAGAGAACTTTAAAAACTATTTTCTTTGTTGTTGTAGGTTGCAAGATAACAGACAGTTTAGAGGTAGGGATGGCAGACGGGGGTGGCCAAGTGACAATCGATCAAACCAGTGGCATGGACGATCCTGGGGTAATAATTACCCACAACACAGACAAGAGCCTTACTATCCACAGCAGTATGGACAATATGGTTATAACCAGCGGCCTCCCTATGGTTACTACTGATAGAACTGGTGGTGACATCTTTTAGTAAAATCAATTACTTTGTTAACATGGCAAAAAATTCATGTGTGTTCTGCTGATCACTGTTTTCCATCCCATTTTAGAGAATGGATTATTAATGTTTTGGAACTTAAGACCTTAAAAAATAGATCTTGAAAGATGTAATGGTTGCTGAGAATAAATATTCCTTTAAAAACACTGGATTATATTGCTTGACTTCTACCTCAGATTCTTCAAGACTATAGGGCTTTGAGTTTGGTATATTTTCCTTGTTTGACCTCCAGAAGTTCTGTCTAAGACAGAAATAAAAACATCAAATTAAAAAATGCTTCCTTTTACTTTGTAAGATAAAAGAATGTCCCTGTTAAATTCCAACTCAGATGTACTTATTTCTAAAATTCTATAGAGCTAGTACTATCAGTTCATGAATACACCACAGTGCTTACTGTTATATGACCATGGTACTTTGTGAATGCTTACTCTATAGGTAAAGTAGCTGTACAACTAATTTGGTCTCTTTAGAGGAAAATCAATAATAAAGCTGTAAAATGAGAAAGGACTCATTCTTAGTTTAGGTTCGTCATCTGGTGGTAGGTGGGATTAGGGCACACATCATTTTATAGAAACTAAGGCTTTTTGCTAATTTAAAACATAGAAAAAAATTCATGTTACGTAAAGTTTATTCATATACACTGACTACTTTTTGGTACTTTTATTTTAGGTTGATTTTATAGTGTCACATTCATTTCCAAGTGCATACCTTTGCAGCTTCCCTGTCTAAAGGGAAATGATGTTGTCACTTCGTTTCAGAGAAACCATTCTACTTCAAATCACTTAGTGGGTATTACAGTACTTCTTATTCATAACAAAATTTTTAATGATTTTCCGAGTTTCGACAGCCCATTTATTAATATGGTAAGATGTATTTTTTTATTTATTACTCTGCTCTTGTTTGTTGAAAAGATCTTAGTTTAAGGGTATTATTAAAAGTACAGGTTTAATCACAAAAGCTATCAAAGAACAACTTCTTCAATTTGTTGCCATTTCTCTTATACCTCTGCCTAGGCTAGTGGTGGCAAACCTCTGGCATGCATTAGCATTGAAAGCTCTAATAGGTTTGCCATCCCTGGCCGGGACCCTTTAGATTGATTTCTCCAGGTGCTTCTCTGTGCTCTGCCTTGTTCTGTCCTTTCCACTTCGTGAAAAGCCACCTCTCCTGCATTTTATTGGAAAGGCTCTAATAAAACATGTTTCACACTGAGATGTAAGTAAAATTTTAGTAAGGTTTCCTGTACCCTTCTAATTGTATCAGTAGGCATAGGCCAAGTCTTGATACCACAAATATTTAGGGACTCCACAGTGACCTGAGTACGCCTCAGGATCCAAACTAGGGAAAGTCCTGTTAACGTGCTATCCCTGCATTTTGTATGAACAATTTCTTTACTATTGCTGGCTTTTTGGTTTTGGCAGCAATCACTATTTTAGACTGCCCTGTGTACTTAAAAACAAATAAAAGGCATAGTTTCTGGGGCTGGAATTTAGCAGCACAATCGCCTGCTTGGCACGTGTGAGGTTGTGAGTTTGAGCCCTAGTTTCCCCCCTTCCAAAAAAAAAGCATGGTTTTTGTTTTGTAAGACAGTATGGGGGGCTGGGGATTTAGCTCAGTGGCATAAGCACCTGCCTTGCAAGCAGGAAGTCGTGAGTTCAATCCCTGGTACCGATAAAAAGGAAAAAGAAAAAAAAAAAAAAGACAGTACCATAAAAACAAAACTCTAATCTGAACAAAAAATTGAAACTATGTTACACAGAATTTAAAATAGTTTGTGTACTAGCGCACAGCGCTAGACATAAGGATTCCTGGCTACCAATCCTGTCCTTACAAGGTCCATAACCTTGAGAAAATGACTTAAACTTTGACATTAGCTCACTTGTAAAAATGGGAACGATACCTACCCTACCACCCTCACAGAACAAAATGACCAAAGCAAAAGCTTCGTAGTAAAAACTATAATTATGACCATGAAACCCCCAGGGACACATAATAGGTGAAAGTAAGCATTTGTTGCAGTAGTGGCAGGAAAGTACCTGGTAAATTGTGAAGCAGAGTGTTGGTATGAAGGATGAGAGTAACTAATAACAGATGAGGGAGGGCAGGAGACCCTGAGATTAAGGGCTTATGAGTGTTTACTTGAATTCATCTGTGAACTGAAAAAGCAAGTTGTATCCTTTAGGAAATGACAGATGAGTAAGAAAGTTTATGCAAAAGTGGAGCTACAATTAGCATTTCTGTTTAAAAATTGGCACTGATTTTAAAATGTCAAATGTTGACTAATGTCCTTTGGGAACAGCTTGCAGGAAATTTGATGTAAAGTCTTTGTCTTGGTTAATTTTTGAGGCCCAGAAGGACTTACTTGGGGTATCCATACTGTAATAACTTCGAGTGCTGGTTCTAAGAATAGTGTTTGGCTTCTTGAAACCTTATAGCAAGAAGACATCCAGGAAGACTTCCAGCTGTGTTTTAGTTTCCAAAGCTGCATTGCTTTTCATGCTCAATAGACGACGCTTTAACTTTCCTTTTATATTTTATGCCTAAAAGAAGACAAAACCTTGATAGAATTAAGAGTAATGAAATGTCAGTTTCCTTTCTTTCCCCTTAAGAAACGGGTCTGTGTTGCTCAGAGTGCCTGGGCTCAGGTGATCCTGCCTCAGCCTACTAAGTAGCTGAGGCTACAGGCGCACGTCCCACACCTGACGAAATGTCAGTTTTAAGTTTAGAATGCTGAAACAGAAGGAAAAGAGCTTTTACTCTGAAGTTACTGACAGACAGCACTCATTTTTAACTCTAATAATTAAACACTTTGTTTTTAAATGTATTATTTTTACTCTTTAAAAATAGTCTTATTTCATTAATTGAATTTGTATTAGCATTCTTTTAAGTAACAAAATACTTAAAATTGAGATAAGCAATTTTAAGAAAGGTTTATTTGGACTGACGGTTTCAGAGGTTTCAGTCCATCAGTTGTCATCAATGTTACTGAGCCTGGCAGTTACAGGTATCAGTTTAGGAGACCTGTTCACCTCATGGTGGTTTGGAAGTGACAGGAAAGGGGTGGGATCCAAGTGTCCCCCGGTATCTGACTTCCTCCTGCTAGGCCCCATCCTTCAAGGGTTCCCTCACCTTCTCCTAGTGCCATAGGCCAAAGACTTAAGCTTCTTACATGCGGCCCTTTCAGAAACATGCAAGATCCAAACTGTAGCAGACCCCACAGATTTGGTAGATCTATGCCCTGGGCTACGGTTCGCACTGTCCTCTGTAGTGAGAGAGAGAAACGTTTTCCCATTAAGAAATCACAATTCCCAGGCTGAGACAGCTTCTGAGGCTGGAAATGGTACTTGGGAAAGCACGTACTCTATTACTGTCAGACAAAGAGGAATTATATATAAACCGTTCTATTCACTGAGAAGTTTATTCCGGTTTTTTTTTAGTATTCTTTATTTTGACCGAAGAATCTTGAGTGTGTAAATATAAATAAGGGCTCTGAAATACTAAAAAGCTTTGGTTAGTTTTATGTGAAAAAATTATATAGGTCTGTCTTAGTCGTTTTCCTCATCACTACGACACAATAACTGACACCACATCTTAAAGGGGAGAGATTTATCTTGGCCCATGTTTTCAAAGTTGCAGTCCTTGCATGGTCAGCTGGTTCCAGGCAAGATGGCATGGCAGAGAGGGCGGAGTGCTGGAGGGGGCACGTGTGCTGAACGGGAGCAGGAGCAGTGCCGGGAGGAGTGAGGAGGAGAGACACCGCCTTTTCCTACAGACGCCATCGCCCTGCAGCGCATTTAACTATGAACTCCCCAGTGGACTAGCCCACTGATAACCCTCATGCCTCTAATTCCGTCACCTCCCAAAAGTCCCACCTGTGAGTACATGAGGCTCTAGGAGGACATCTTGATATAAAATCATAAATAGAAGTTTAACAAGGTATGCTTTAAAAATTCTCAAGTTTTAAACTTGGAGTGAGTTAAGACCGGGAAAAGCCACTTGACTTTGGGAGAAGTTAATATCATTAGAATTTAAATTAACAGTTCAGGATTCAGATATATACAGGCCAATTAAAAAATATGGTGTGTTTAGGTAAAATTTATTACAGTAAAAGACACCCTGCCATTACTCCCCTCAGGGCCCTCCCCCTTGCTTCAGACACTTGCCACTTTCTGAAACAGCTCTGGAAGACCTCTGTGACTGTCTTTGAGATCAAATAAAAAATATAATGAATGCCACTGCTGTGTACCAGCCAAAGGGAAGACGGCTCCTAAAAACAGTACAGCATGTTATCTACCTTACTCACCAATCTGGCACCTGGGGATATCTAGATCTCCAAAGTCAAAATAACCGTGCAAAGTATTTTCAATTCATTCAGGACACAGAGGCAGCCATGACAGTTGGGAATCTCTCAACTGTCCCAAAGCAACTAAAGACACAAAAGTGAACTCCAAGAAATGCTTCAAAGATTGCAAGAATGACAGAATAAGTGTCCCAAGCAAGGGGTATAGATTTTGAGGGGGACTGATGGCAATGTGACTTTTTTTTTTTTTTTTTGGTCTTTTTCATTTTTATCGGTACCAGGGATCGAACTCACGACTGCCTGCTTGCAAGGCAGGCGCTTATGCCGCTGAGCTAAATCCCCAGCCCCAATGTGACTTTTTCTGTAAAAACAAAACAAAACAAAACATATTTTTCTATCACACCTGTACTGACATTCTGATCATCTACACAAAAATCTCTCCTGGATCCTACTGTATTCAGCTGTTATGGGAGCCAAGTCAACAAGTTCAATTTGCAGATTAGACCAGTGGATTCCAAGGCAACCTTGAAAGCAGCTCTTTGGAAAATAAGGATGGGAGTGGAGAGCCTCTCAACTGTGGACACTGAGACCAAGCTGGCTGCATGGTGCCCACAGATGGGCTGTACCACAAGGGTATTCAGGGGTGGGGGGAAAGTAACTCTCCAGCTATAACGGTGGATTGGAAAAGCTATAGATAGCACCCTTCTGATTTAGATTTATAGGACAGGATAAAAGCAGTTAACAAAGAAGACAAGTCTTCCATCGAAACTACTAATGTGACCTGACCACTGCCTGGAGTGAAAGCATATACATAAACAGAATGAAATCCTCTCGCTGTAGGCAACAGGG